ATTCTAACTCACAGTGTTCTTACAAAACAGAATAGAACTGCCCCCATAGGATTGCCAAGGCTGTAAATCTTTACAGAAGCTGATTGCCACATCTTTCTCCAGTGGAACGGATGGTAGGTTTGAACCACTGACCTTTTGGTTAGCAACCGAGTGCATTACCACTGTGCCACCAGGGCACATTCTTATAAAGCTTCTAAACCAAAAACCAAACCCACTGCTGTGGAGTCGATTCCAACTCATGGTGCCCCATAGGACAGAGGAGAACTGCCCCATAGGGTGTCCAAGGCTGTAAATCTTTTCAGAAGCAGACTGCCTCATCTTTCTCCCTCAGTCCACCTGTCTACAGAGCCTGGAGTAGGATCGTGCCAATCAGGTGTATGGAATGCCAGTGAGGGGAAGGGTCAGTTTTGCCATCTCGCTAAGTTTAAAATGAGCCATCCCAGAGGCAGAAAGGGGGAACCTCATACCACCAAGAAGAAGAGACAGGAGTGGAGCACGTCCCTTGGACCCAGCGTCTCTGGCCTGAGAACCTCCTAGACCCAGGAGACAAAGGGACACAGCTAGTGTTCTAGAGATGACATAAGATGGCGAGAAGAAGTGGCAGAAAAACAAGGGTGGCAGAACCAGGAGATCCAAAACCAAAACCAAGCCCACTGCCATCGAGTCAGATCCAACTCATAGTGACCCCTCCTTGGGTTTTCAAGGTGATATCAATCTTTACCCTATCTACCACATTTCTCTGGGGTTAAGGCTCATCCTGGTCAAATTTTAAATAACTTAACACAAAAAATGACATGCCTGTGAAGACCTACACATACAATTAGAAGCATTTTTCCTCCCTAAGGCCAATGTTGTTCTGTTCTCTGAATCCTCATGTCCCTGATATATGCATCCTTTAGAATTTTTCAGGCTCTGTAGCAACTACTGAATAATGATCAGGTTAATATGCCTGTTTCCCTCACTAAACATTGAACACCTCAACGGCAGGCGAATTTATTAATTTTTTCACCTCTAGTCCCAAGCCCAGAGCTTGGCTCACGATAGATGCCAATAAATACGGCAGAATGCGTATGAAAGGCTGAACACCTACTGAGTTATGGTTAGTAACATAAGGTTTGGCACTTATTTGTCTCTGATACTTTCCTGTGTTCATGTTTGTTCTCTCTAGTGTTTCAGGTGTCCATGCTCCCCAGCCTTGGGTAAAAGAACTCAAGGGCAGAAACCATGGCTTATACATTTACTGTCATTTATATTGATTGTGAATTGGGCAAGTGCTAAAATAGCCTCAAAGAGGACTGGGTCCTAAGGTCCACAGAGTGGAAAAGAAGAGGCTTAGCAAACTAGTCTTTTAGACAGCTATTCAGGTGTCCTTGAAAAGCCATCAAATGAGTCTGGCCTCATAGGCCCAAAGCTCAAAAGAAGTAATTAAGAAGACTTTAGTGAGCTTTGCAATCTTCCCCAAAACACAAACTGCCTCATTTTCTTTTTCTTTTTTCCATTCATACTTTGAACTATGTTAAGTTCTTAGCTTAAATTTTCTTTCTGGTATTTCCAAATACATATAAATAACATATAAAACCTACTCGTTGTGTAATCGATTCCAACTTATAGCAACACTTTAGGACAAAGTAGAACTGCCCATAGGGTTTCCAAGGCTGTAAATCTTCAGGAAGCAGATGGCCATCTCTAGTGGGTTCGAACTGACAACCTTTTGGTTAGCAGCAAAGCACTTAACGTACTGTGCCACCAGGGCTCCTAAATAGCATATAGAATATGTATTTTAATGAAGAAATAAGTAGGTGGGTAGATGAATCATTTAAGTCTGTTTTAAGTGAGTGGACTAAAGGTAAGTGAAGTAAATGGGATAAATAATGCCAATTCTGGTTATCTGGTTAAAATTGAACATATAAGTCAAAGGTATTACCTGGGGACATGGAGTGAATATACTAAGAATCTTGGCCTTTTCATCAGCAGTTTTCATCAGTTTTGTGGCATGAAGTTATGCTTGCAAGATTGGTTCTAAAGAAAGTTCACAGTTTGGAATCTGTTAATTAATCTCTAATTAACTAATATGCCCACCCGCTTGGGTGTTAGTTACTTGATAAGGTTTATGAACTTTATTACTTTCTGCATATTGTAAACAGAAAATGCCAGTTACAGGGTTGAGTGATGAATGCATTGCGGAGGTGAGATGAGGACTCTTGATCACCATTTTACTGCTCCATTTGAGGAAGAACATAAGTGTACCAAGAATGCCATTATTCACCTAAATCAGTCAAACCTTAGCAATTCTTAACTGTGATTGTATACTAGAATCATTTAGGGAGCTTTAAAAAACAGTGATGTCTGTGTCCCACCCCCAGAGATTCTGTTGTAATTGATCTGGGATGCAGCCAGGGCACAGGACTTTTTAAAGCTCCTCAGGGAGTTTTAATGTGCAGGCCAGATTGAGACTCACTGCACTCCAACACTCCAACGTACACTTTGCCCAGCTCGATATGCCTTGTTTGAAATCATCAGTTGCTTACTAAAGCAATTCTCAGATAATCTACTCTTGCACTAACAGCTTTGGGTATATCGGTGTCTTAGCTAGTTTCCTACTACCCAAGAACCAACACAAAGCTCTAGCTTACAGATTACTTAACTATTTTGTTAATATTTATACTAATCAAAAGTCATTTTTAGATTGAGACTTGTAGTAAGTTAAATTCTCTATACACCAAAGCTTAATTCCTCCAACTTATCTACTTAATTATTTAATTCCTTGCAAAACTTCATTTTCTTGATCTTGAAAAGATTTTCTAATTGTTTGAACAATAACCAAAAAACAAAACAAAACCCACTGCCCTATAGGGTTTTCAAGGTTGTAATCTGTTAGCAAACTGCCACATCTCTCTGCCACGGAACAGCTGGTGGGTTCAAATCACCAACCTTTTTGTTAGCAGCTAAGCACTTAATCATTGTGCCACCAAGGCTCCTTGTACGAACTATAAGCAAGGTTAAAAATATTCATTAGAATATTTTGTTGTTGTTGTTGTTTGCCATCGAGTCGGCCCCGACTCATAGCGACCCCTCCTTGGGTTTCTGAGGCAGTAGTATCACTACAGAAGTAGGATTGCCCAACCTTCCTTCCGAGGAGTGGCTGGTGGGTTTGAACCGCCAGCCTTCTGGTTAGCAGTCAAGTGCCTTAGGCACTATGCTACCAGAGCGCCTTAGAATATTTTAGTTAAATGTAATGTTGGACATGTCCAATCACATAAAACCAGGGCTTCGATCTAGTTCAAACTGGTTCAGTCATAGCTGACAAAGCAAAACTGGCACGGACTGGAATTTGCAGAATGTGGGTGCCTGGAACATAACTGGAATAGGAAAAATTACAGGTCAAAACCCTGGAATGGGAGACTCAGAAAAGGCATAGCAAGCCCTTTCAGGATCCTGATGCAGAAGACTGGATTATTGCCAGGACAATAAAGAGGAACACACATTCAAAGTGGCATAGTCAATTGCCTTCTTTGCACAGGACATCATTGTTTCTGACTGTACTGGTCAATAGACTCAGTTGCTGTATAATGTGCACACTCTCCTTCTTTTCTAAGAGGGAGATTAAGTTTCTAATAGGGCATTGACCCATAATTTTCCCCATTTCAGTTATCAGTCCAGATACTCACATTTTGGAAATTCCAGTCCATCCTCTTTTTGCTTCATCAGCCCAGTGCACCATTAGGGAGGTGTAGGGGTCAGATCATGCAAAGTGACACTATCAGAGTGAGTGACACCAAAATGACTGTCTATAAAATTTTTGTGCAATGTTTCAGCTGAAATTTATTATTTTTTTATAAATATATCACTGTAGTCATAACAAGAAAACAGTTTTCATAAGCTCAGTTTACACATATTGATATACCTACAAGGATAAAACTCTATATTAATTTACTTTTTGAACCTTCTAATGCACTCTGGTCAGAGCTGTCATTATTACCATTAATATCATTATTCTCATATAAACATATGAGACTTTGAATCATATGTTTTGTTTCTGCACATGCTACAAACAAACCCAAGCTGTTGTTTTCATCATTGCCAGTATTTTTATAGTCACTGAATTGTCAAATTTTCTGGTGTTTTAGCTACAATATTGTGGTAATTAGTATTTGTGAAACTATATCAATAACATTTTTGAGAATGAAGTAGTAATTAAAGGAGAAAAATAAAAAAATCTTCCGTTCAGTTACTAATATTTTGTAATTCAATGCAGAAAGATTTTACAAAACAAGTTTTATTGTTAGTATTCATATAATCTAAGACATAACACATTTAAGCAATTTACAACTACATTTATCACATACTATTCTCTGATTAAAATTGATAATAAACATTAGTAAACATTCTGTATGGTCTGGTATAGGAAGAGGTCCATGGAGGAAGGGTGACACCATGAGTGACCATACTGGGTGACACCAACCCTAGTGATGCTGCCACTGCTGCATCAGCCATGACTGAACTGGAACAACCAGTTTGAAGCCCCACATAAAATTCATATAATTTCAGCCTATTAACAAAGTGAAAACCTGATGGCTGAAAGGGAGCTCTATTTTTTTTCATTTCTCTAGACTGAATCCAGGTGTAGAGTATCCGGGTGGCACAAAAGGTTAAGTGCCAGAATACTAGCCAAACAGTTGGCAGTTTGAACCCACCCTCAGAAGACAACCCTGGTGATCTGCTTCTGAATGGTCATAGCCTTGAAAACCCTACTGAGCAGTTCTACTCTTCACACAGGGGTCACCACGAGTCGGAACTGATTTGACAACAACTAAAAATAAAAAAAAACCTCAGTGTTTTTAAGCAGTCTTCATATAATTTAGTCAAAAAATCAACTAGCAGACAAGAACACAAACCAAAGAGGTAAACAAACAGGTAAGGCTTTTTTTTTTTTTAACAAAACACTTTGTGCTACAGGAATCTAGAATTTCAGGTACTATACTTCAAAACCAAGTACTTACATTTTCTAGGAGGCAAACAGCAGCAGGATTCCCACGAAATGCCTTTGCTGTGAATGCATCTGCTACAAAAATAGGGAGCTTCATTTCTCCTGCAAGCTATTTCTGCAAGCTCTCAAAATTGCTTTACTTCTAGCTGTTGCAAAAAATCAAAATGTTAATGTTTTACTGGGTGTACAGAAGCAACTGCAGTTCTCAGGTACAAAGGTAAGAAATTATCTCTAATACACATGCATGTAAAGGTATGTGATCCCCTAATATTTTTTCAGCTTTTAAATTGAATTTGGATAAATAGAATATTTTCAAATCTTGTACTGAGTTTTCATAGTGCACTTATAACTTAATATCATATCCTTCTTAATATCATATCACTATCATATCCTTTATTAGAGTAGCCTAAACTAGTTTAGGTTTTGTTTTTAATGAAGTGCATGAAAAGTCCAGGAGGCAAGTAAGTTGACACTATCTCAATGGTGACTGTTGTTTTAGGTGCCATCGAGTCGGC